GTGATTTTATTTTAAATGAGCATGACAAAGCAAGGGGCCATGACAGCAGGAGCACATTGTAGGAGTTCTGGCACAAACCCATTTGAGCTGTACCAGATATTCATGTTCTTTGTAATCCTAGCTATTCCTACACCAGCAAGGAGAGGATATCTAAATGTAACCCCTGTACTTAATTAGCAAGCCTTTCAGGTGACTAGTTTTTATGGAACTGCTGCCTTCAGCAAGACCAGAAAACTCTGGAAAAGCAAACATTTCTTATCTTCTAGTATTTCTTGGATCTGAATCTCTCCTACCTTTCCCTAAATTATTGGTTTTTTCTTGAGAGATCAAGACTCAGAGCAGGATTTTCCATCCCTCTGCCTGGCCACAAGGACTGCTCACTGAGTTTGGAAAGAAAGACAGAGGTGACTGGAACAAACTAAGCCTGTCTGCTTTCTTGATACTGTTGGCTCAAGGGAAGCTGTTTCTCTGAGCAATTATAGTATTGCTAAGCAAGTTCAAAAAGGGAATAATTCCCTGACTGACTGAAAAAAAAAAGGATATCCAACTTCCTACAAATATTTTTTTTCATTCTAATGGTAGAAATAGTGCCGTTTTCAATAGATGGGAGCAATTTGTCCCCAGAGTATCATGGTGAGGCTGTGGAGATATCCTTGTGCTCAGAGTGCCAAGGGAAATGTTGCACTCAGAGCATGTTCAGAGTGTGTAAAACACAATACAGCCCGGGAGACAGGATGCTTCAGTGAGCACCTCATGGCACAGCACCATTAAAGACTGTGTAAGGTCTAAGAAGACTTTTTTGCCAGAGACATAGTTTTCATTTTCCAGTGAAGGCCAAGGGACTTGTTCACTCATCCCCTCTGTTAAATCAAATGACTCCTAAGCATTGCAGCTCCATGGAAGGCTGAACCCTGGGCAGAAAAGCAGACACAAGTCCAAAGACAGCTGTAGGCCAGCCTGGGAGTCAGGGGTTGTTTGCACCAGGGCTGATTTTGGGTCCCTGCCTGCAAAGTGCAGCTCTGAGAGCCACTGCAAGCAGCAGAAAGCAAGGTGTGTGGGAAGTTTGTACCAGAGAAGAATGAAAATTCTTAATTTCAAAACCTGGTTGCCACAGAACAAAAAGCAGTTTCTTCAAGTGTTTGGAAATGGGAGTTTCTTCCTAGTAAATACTTAGGCCAGTGTTTGTTCCTTGCATAATAAAGTCACTGTAAAAGAGCAGAATTAATTGTAATAGTAGTCTTTTGAAAAGACATATTTTCCTGCTTTGAGATTCTTAACATCTATTGAGATTATCAGAGAATTAGAACATCACTATATACACAGATGAAAATTTCCGTGTAGTGGAAACTAGAAATATCTAGTGATTTTTAAAAGTTCATTTCAGAATTTTTTTAAATTTATTTTCTTTTAGTTAATGTAATGTGGTTTTAACTTTTATTCTACTTTTTCACAGTATTATACAATGTGTAATTAATGACAGCATGCAACTGCTTCTCTTAAGTACTCTTATTTAAATTACATTTAAAAATCACAGAGGCAAGAGAGGTAAGTGTCATTTAGCAAGTTTAAATTTTTATTTTCTTTTTTATTTCAAAGTGTCTCCTGCTTTAATTTTGACACTGGCATAAATGCCAGAACATTGCATAAAAATAAAAAGAAATTAAAACTTAAAGTTTAAGTCCCTTTAAAACGGAATAAAGAAGTTCTAGAAGCTCTGAAAATATTATTTTCATTGTAAAAGTGATAAACTGGTAACTTATATCAGATATTATAAAAATCTAGGTTTTTACAACTAAGTTTAAATTTTTATGAAAATTATACCTTCAGACAGTACAAAAAGCAAGACTGGGAATAAATTCACACTGGTCTATTATAGACTACTCTTCTGCAGAGTAGTTTTCATGCAAGTTTGTGAAAACATATAGACTTTTGATCTAGAGCTCTTTCTTCAGAAACATAGTTCCCACTAAACCTAAGAGACTTGTGCATGTCATTGCATGCTTAAATCTGCAGAAAGAACTGGGCCTAAAGTTCGAACAAAACAAAATTATCAGATGGCCAGATAAATTATGGTGCTGGAGGATATGACTAGGCAGGGACAGTTAAATTAATTCAATTGCTTCATGTTTGCCATAGGCAAACTGATACCACAGGTTAACTCTGAAACTTGCTGCAATGCTAGTTTTTATATGTTTTAATTCTTTTTAGCTGTGTCTGCTGAGAGGAAAACTGTTTTAGAGAGAAAATATGCATTTATATAATTTTTATGAGAGTAAATATGGAATTGATTCCAGATTTTGGTGTAGCAGACAATGAACCTATGTAAAAGACATCAGTATTTAGACAAAATAATATTCTAAAAAATTTGTCATTTCTTAATCTGCAGGCCAGCAGCTGGCTGTGCAGGAAAGCTAGGAGAAACTGGACTTTCACACATGTCACCCTAATGAACAATAAGTGTCCTCCAATGGGGCTAAATGAGCCTTCCACAAGTGGTCATCAAATGGTGGGCATGATGTGGGAGAGGCAACCTCCTGCTCCTTTCAGGCATGGCCTCCTGGCTTTAGTGAATGCCACAAAAAGATACAGAGGGAAGAGAGGAGAGTGCCAAGGTCCGGGCACTACCTGGGACTCTCGCTGCCACCCCTATGCAAAATCACCTTTATGACTCCATGGGAAATGCGTGAGATCCCACTGCAACTCTGGCATTCAGACCTGGAAACCTCTCTCCCCAGACAAGATAACATCTGCTGCTGCTGCTGCTGCTGCTCCTGCTGCAATTACAAGGTGATGTGATATCAGTCAAGCAGTTTAAATGATAGAGGCTGTGCAGGAGTAGAGAAAGTTCAAGTGTAAAGGCAGCTGTCAATGCACAACTGAGCAGGGAGGGGGTGGAAGAGAGAATTGTTACAGCTGCACAGAATGGCATTAATTTCTAGGAGGGGAGGGTTGAGGTTTGGTAGTTTGGGACTTTTTAAAATGTAAATAGGACCTTAGAAATTAATTGCTGCCTTCAGTTAGGGAGCTGGTCGAGGAGCCTCTCTGGTGTGGAGTACCTAGCAAGAATTCCTACAGACTGATGATGGCCAGGAAACTTGCAAGTGTGTCAAAGGTGCCTCTTTCTCTACATCATGTTTCATGCTTGCAATCTTATGGTGAAGAGAATAGAGAAGTGCTCTGACAGCATGAAATAAACTCCAAGGTCAGACACACACATACACAGAGTGAATCTACAAAGCAGTGGCCAACTCTAAAGTAGAGGCCAACTCCAACTCCACCATCCTGTCCCTGCTCCATGTGGGAGATAATTTGTATTTGCCCAGATGCTATGAAAGTTGTAATCCTAAGAAGTCTAGAGCATGGACTAAATAGGTTCTGGATTGCCTGTATGATCCTGGGGGTGGGAGAAATGCAACCCCCTGGTGCTGCCATGAACACCTGGCCCCTGTAAAACACAGAAATCCAAGCAGGACCTTAAGGCAAATCCTTCAAGATGCAGGTATTTCAGGGACTAAGCATCCCTCCCATCCTGACAATTCACACCACAGGCATCAGCAAGGTGCTGCTGCACTGAATCCTGTATTTCACCAAGATGATTTTTTTATATTACACCAGCACCCAAAATCAGACATTTGAGCACTTTGAAAACACCTCCTGTTCAAACCTGGGCCTCATGGTGAGTCTGTCCCATCTCTACCTTCAACTGTTTGGCTGGTATCCAGTTTTTGTGGGGTTTGGGGGTTTTCTCAGTGTGGGTTTAGGGGTTTTTTGAAAGTCTAAGTCAACAGAACAAGTCCGTGAAAAATGTAACAATGGCTAATTTCCAATGAAAGAAATTTGCAGACTTAAGGAATACATGGAAAGAGCAAGCTCTGGTACAAAAAGGGGTATTTTTCCCTTGACTTCTCACGGCGTCCTGGGGGGATGTGGAGGATACGATGATCTTTGTATTTCTTATTGCCACCTTCCCTATCTCTGGAAATTATGATACACACAGACACTGACCCTTCTCTCACCAGAGTAAACCCACAATAAATCTGATGTTTTTGAGTAAACTGGTTACACTTCCCCAGCTGCCCCCTCCCCACGCCCCCCTGGTGTCCCCGCCGTGCCCCAGGGAGCTCAGAAAAGCCTTTGGCCGAGGCTGGGAGGAGGGGAAAGCTGAGAGAGCTCAGTGTTGCTGCGTTATGGAGTGAGAGATAGAGCCAGCCAGGCAGTGCCCCGGCCCTGAGCACGATGATATTCATTTCACATAGCCCTTGCCTGTTCCAGCTGGAACGATAGGAGATGCAAACTTTGACTTCTGCGTTTGAAAGAGATATTGTTTGATGGAAGTGTGTGGGTGGCGGGTAAAACAAGCAGCTAAGTGTCAGCACAAGAAGCAAACATTCTCCTTCCCTCCCTCCCTAATGTAGTTTTTGACGTAACGAGCATTGCTCCCAATTTTCCTTCCAAATAGGCATTGCACCCGTCCCCATGGCAACTGTCATGCTCAAAAGATGTCCTGTCAGGAGGCATGAAAGGCCCAGAGACATTTGTATTAGATGGTCACAACCGTGCTAGCTAATGCCTAACAAATACACCACGAGGCTGCATTCGTCAAAATGAAGAGCACAAACATTTGTGTTCCATTAAACAGAAATTAATAAGATTCAAATAGGAAGAAACCAAACTGGACTGGGTTTTTTTTGTGTATACAGCTGTGTTATGAAGTAATACAAGGAACGTTAGTATGAATAATGATTGCACATGTGCATTCAATTTATTTCTTCTACTTCTTGTATGGTCTCCTTTAACCCTTTTTCTCTATAGGTTTTTCAGAAATCAAACACAGGTTTAACAGCTGGGCAAGACAGGGATTTCAACTGCTCCTTTCACACTGCTGAAGCCCAATAGCACTTCTTTATTTAAAGGCACTCTGGGTCATTGGGAAGTTGTGCTTTTGAAAAATGTTCCCTACTTCGTGATTGAGCACATAAAAATGGTGGTCTCAATTTCACCAGGGAAAAGAAGAGGTCCAGTCTCCAAACAAGGCAGGTTGTGTCCACAACCACTGTGCATCTTCCTACCTCCCTCGGCCACAGGGAAGCGGAGCTGATTTATCCCAGCTGAGGATCTCGCCTCGGGTCCAGGCACTGAAAGAAAATAACAAAATTGAATCACGTTTCCAGCTCAGCTGAAAATCAAAAGTGAAAGTTCAGGAAGACAGCAGAACCTCCTCCCACGACAACCCTTCTCCTGGCTCCTCATCACCAAACATAACTTAGAGCAGTTCCTTTCACCCGCTGCTGCAAGTAAACAACAAAAGTGGACTGTGTTACAGAGCCTGACAATGACAGTCTGTACTTGGCTTTACTGGCCACAAAAGGCTGTGGTAGCTTTGCTTTCTCTGGTCAGCTTAACCTCATGCTTTTTCTTGTGAGAAGGGAAAAAAAAAGGAAAGTTGGCCAGGGTTCTGATTCTGCCACAGGCCCAGGCCTCCTACCCAGTGTGTGTGGGTGTACCAGTGCCTGGCCAGCCTCCACATCTGCTGCTCAGAATTATCCTTTCCCTGTTTTGACCTCCTAGCTTCACAGGCAGGAGAAATAATCGTACCAGAACCTGCATTTCCATCGCACAAGGTTTATATTCTCACAAGATCTAGTTTTGCAACAGTTTGAATGCATATATATATTTGTGCCAGGACTCTTACCTCCTCCTCCCCGTCTTTCCCCTCTTCTCCTCATACTCCTGCCTCTTTGTCCCTGAAACTCCTATTATCCCTCAACCTTCCATCTCTCTGGCTGAACTGACTAACACCCTTATCCAACACTGGGCAAGTGGGAGGAGAGGCAGCAAATGGAAAACATTTCTCTTTCTGGCTGTACTTGCAAAACAGGAATTTGCTATTCCATCAGCATGCACATGTCCAGACCTGGGCTTTTGTAGAAAAGCCAACTTTCACTTAATCCTTTGAATAGACAACTATTTTTCTGGAGAAGTTTCACCAGACTCCCATATTCCCATCCTTAGTTTCCCCAAGCCTTCTGTCCTGGTTTAGGGCAAATTTGGGAGGCAACTTCCAAAGGAGTCCCTCTAGAAAGCAGATTCAAGTGACCCCTCCCCCAGCTGGTTTGGGGACAAGATTTCCTTGGAGAAAAGTGGAAAAAGCCTGTTTATTTAAGAAATAAAGCATTCACAAGCCAAGAAAATGAATATTAAACAATAAAACTTCTCTCTGTTCTGAAAAGATGGCAAATTCAGAAAGTCCTCTTCGCGGGGTCGTAGCTTGGCTCGCTCAGACTCTTATCAATCTCTCCTGAGCTGGAAAATGCTGTGTCCTTCAGGACAGGACAACAACCTAAAGAGACCAACAGTCTTCCCCAAACTAAACTGCTGCATTAAGCAACAAGCTGTGGTCAGTTCTGGAGGACTATAAAACAGCCCTGGCATAGGCTCATTCCTGTTGTTGCATCTCCTGTGTTTGCTGTGTAGCCACGTGAGACGATGAACCCTCTGCCCCTTGTGTGAAGCACTTTCCACCTTCCTGAACATCCCCACACTCTGAAGACACCCAGCCTTGGAGCAAGGCAGGAAACTTAGTCCACAGCACATGTTTTAAATTGAAAAATTACTATTTGCTGAAACAAGAAAATCTTTGCAACAACTAGACCTTTCCTGAAAAACTCCTGTTCAGAAGCTCCAGACCAAACTTCCCTCCAAAGAGAAAGAGGAGAACTCCTGTAGAAGCACATCTTGGTGCAGCTGCTTAGCCAGGGGTTCAGACACCTGGCTCAAGCCCTGGTCCCAGACCTTGAGAAAGATTTAAGCAGCGTCTACACCCTCCAAGGTTTGTGCTCCAAGAAATCATCAACTATTTTAGACAGTTAAGCATACTGTATGTCCCTCTTGAATAATTCTGAAAAATAATTAAGTTGGAATCCATTGAAACAAGGATTTATTAAAAAAAAAGTGGGAAAAAAATTTCTCAATTTATCCTCTTTATATCCTTTCTTTATCCAGCATCTTGAAGGAGAACAACCCAATATTCAGTATTCACATGTGGAATTTCCTTCTTCCAAGAAGAAAAACAAAAACTTAAATTTTCCTGCTAAATAGCTTACATGCCTAACAATACATGTTATGATAAATTCTTGCCATATTCATGAGCAAAAGTCACAATAATGGGTGTCACTTTTAATGTCAATCCTTTCAGGAATATTCCACATTTCCCAGCCCATATCCCTCTAAAAGATCATAAGGTTTCATGATCTTGTGTTTGACATATCACACATGTATTATTTCAGCTCAGGCCATTGTTTTAGTGAAGCCTTGGAGCCTTTGCAGTCTCCAAGCCTGCATACAGAGACATCTTTGAATTATGTTTCTGGGCTAAAATCAGGCTTTGGTTTTTTCTATCTTTGTCACTCCTCAGCTGGACAACATGGTACATGACAGGAGCCATCAACACTCAGGAAATGTGGTCCATGTGCCTCTTCAGCAATGTGAGTTACCATAAGTTTTTCAGGCTTTTTCTTCCCTCTCTGGAATGTTTTCTGCTATCTTTTCTAAAAAGCTCAACATTTTAAACTTCAATTAAAGAAGCAGAAGCAGAGAGAGACGACCTAGGAGGACCACAGTGATACTGCCTAAGCATGCAGCACCACGGTTGGGAAAGCCAGAGCCTACCTGAAAGGTGATGAGGAAAAGCTTCCCAGCAGCAAAAGCAAAAGGAAGTCCAGGGAAAATGTGGGCCTCCTGAAGAGTAAGGCAGGAGACCTGGTGACAAAGGACATGGAAAAAGACCAAGGTACTTCAATCTCTCCTCCTTGCCTTTACTGATAAGATATACCGTCAGGAATCCCAGTCTCAATTTCAATTTCCTGAAAGTGGTGGAAAAGGTGGGAACAGGGCAGAACTTCCCTTAGTGGAAAAGGACCAGGTTAGGGAATATTTAAACAAACCAAATGTACCCATGCCCATGGACCTGGCAACCTACACCATGGGGGGAACTGCAGTTGCCATTGTGAGTTCGCTCCTAGTGGTCTTGAAAAAGTCATGCGTGTCTCAGGAGACTCCTCAGGACTGGAGAAAAGCAAATTTCACTCTTGTCTTCCAGAATGACATGAAGGATTATCCAGGGAACTAAAAGCCACTCAGCCTCAACACAGTCACTAGGAAAGTGATAGAACAAAACCATTTCCAAACATATTAAGGACAAGTCGGTGACTGGGAGAAGTCAGCATGGATTTATAAAGGGGAAAATATGTCTGAGCAACAGAGTCTTCTGCAGGAGCTAGGCAGCTGAACTAGGGCATAGGCATGATATAGACACCAAACACAGAATTGCCTTTTTGCCATTTGTTTCTTGAGACTGCTCCATAAGAGGGATGGCATAATCTCTGGCAGGCCTCTGGCCTCCCTCATTTCTGAGTCAACTTCTTTAAATGAGCAGATTGTTAAGAGTCCAAAATATCTGTAGTCAAAGCTGAACAACATGAACTGATAAAAGTCAAACTTCACGAAAGATATTGCCTTGTGTGTATTAGCCAAAAATTCTACCCTTGCTTGCTTGAAATCTGTATTTTATTTAGTTAGTCTACATGAATATGTGGTTATGGCTGCAGCATGAAAATTCTGGTAATAGTCTTTATAACAATGAGTGCCCTGGCCCAAATATTTTCCTTTATGTCAGAGAAATTTCTGATAATTAATTTTGACACCTTGTATTAAAATAAAAATAAAGAACCCTTACTGAGGTTCTTTAGCCAAAAATGTAGCATAACACTCAGAGAAGCTTGAATATTTTCCAGAAGACAGGTTTTTTTGTCAAAAAAGGTTTCCCTGATTTTACAAAATGGAAATGTTTCACAAGAATCTTATTCAAAGTTTGGCACTTAAATGTAAATACAACATTTAATTTTAGCTTTATTGAACTGTCCAAAAATTATTCCGTTCTGGTCTACACCAAGAAGACCTCAGAGTTTTGAATTGAAATGCTGAGTGACAGAGGTGGGAAGGTGAATAAAACCTTCTCACTTTCACACAGGACAAGAACATCTAGCAGATGTCAGGTTGCGAGTGAGTAAAAGGAAGCTCTTGCATGTGTGTTTATGCTGAGGATGTCCTTCAAACAAGATGACAATAAAGCTTTGCGGGACGAATCCTGTGTGTGCTACTACATACAAAGACACCAACCCCGACAGAGAAAGTCTCTGAGCCACGACTACTAGACAGTATTCTAGTGAAGAATTGCTATTTGTTTGCTCTTTGACATTTGGTACAGGATGCCTGGTTCAGGGCAAAATGAACCCTTAATCTTCTGTTTCCAGGGAAGTAGAAGTGAGCTTTCTGACTGGTAGCAAAGTTTGGTTTCCATCTGAGTATTTTCTGCGTGTTCTATCTTTATGTTTTTCAGGACAAAAAAACCACAAAACAAATACAGCACACAACCTCTCTCACACACACACCAACATTCAGAGGCTTTTATTACAAAAGATTTACTTTTTTAGACAAAAAAACCCAATCTTTATGAAATTTTATATACTTTTCTAAGTTTGTTATATACTTAGAAAACATAAAGGAGAAAATAATAAAGCATGGAAGAGAAATTTTAAGCTCCTTTAAACCAGGTAACACAGCCAAACACTCTTTCTTTTGGACTACATTTTGCTCACAATTCACTTAGTTATTTCAGCAGTTATTTCTGCAAAGTGTACCATGCCTTATGTAACAACATGAACAAATTCAATAACTAAGCCAACTTTAGTTTCTGTTCCCTAAATTTGTAGTCTGAAAGAATTTAGGTCAGGTGTACCCTCAGCTTTTGGAGAATGGTCTTGTCCATTTTGCTCAGGGGATCAAGACATTCCAGAAGCATGAAAATTACATCGCTAGGGTCAAAATCCAGATTTAAGATGTCATCTTTAATTTTTAATGCCCTTGGCTTTTCCTATCGGCATAAGAATCACAATGCCTTACTATTTTGGAAAGTCTATTTCTTATTATTTCATGTAAACTTTAGGAAAAGCAACATGGTTAATCATTCAGTGACTAAGTATGAAAATCATTAGAAGGAATCTTTACAGTTTATTGAAACATTTGCTAACTACCATATGAAGATTTACTAGCCCTTTAAAACTATGATTATTTTTCCAGAACATTGGAAGCTCTTTTAAGATCTGTTACAATCCAATATGCAATTCTTTTTCAGCGAGATTTCACAAAGTGTTGAGCTATTTTTCTTTATGCTATGCCTGGCCCGTATGTGTAGCAAGTTTGCAAGCTTGGCTGTCATGAATATTTCTTGAAAAACAGCCTTGGACAGAAGTAATTTTTCTAAATTAAATAAATATGTTGTTTCTGATTTTCCAAAATACCCAAAGGAACTAGCTCACATTCTAGATCAATGGCCTGCAAAATTTCACCTTGAAAGATGATGACTTTTTTACTTGATGAAGCACAAAATGTCTCTGGGAACAAAGAAATTTTGCAGTGGATTGGGTCCTACAAACTTCACTTTCTCAGAAAGCAAATTTTCCTATTGATTTTAATGGTGTTGATTATCTGAATTTTCATGTTAGCTGACAGTCAGGAGCACTTTGCACAGGTAGTACAGTCAGTATTATTTTGCAATTAGCTTTCTGGGATATTTGGACTTCTAAAAAGAAATGAGGTTTGTTTACTTTCTTAGGAAAAGGAAAATTCCAGTCCTGCAACAGATAAGGATTTCTGAGAGTAAAATTCCAAATCATTTTAGACATGACCCTCAAATCCTTTTTTGCATTGTCAGTTTGTAGAAGAGATGTTGAAGGCTCCAAGTTAAGAAGCATAGGGGTATGAAATAAAACATTTTGAGGGCTCAGGGCTCTCTGAAGACAGTAACTCAAGTTGGGCTGGGAGCTCTGGGTACAGCAAACCACTGTGGATGAATTTCAAACACGCTGACTAACACCTTTAAGAATCAATGGAGAGATAGAGATTTAAATGAGGTCTTAATGGCTTTGTTATAGAAGGGGGAACAGGAGTGTTACAGAACTTCTGTCTCCTCAATGCCATGAAGCATTGGAAATGAGAAGGCACAGATGTGCACAGGGAGGGCAAGAGCAGCCCTGAATTCACCCAGCATTTAACACCATGCAAGAGCAGTGAGGAACCTAAGGCAGAATGGGCTTCATGACTTCACTGTTTGCTTGAAGATAGACATCACTTCAGCTTAAACCTCTCTGCAAGCAGGGCTTTGTCTTGTCTCTGGTACGCTTCTTGTTAGCTTTGGCAATAGCTGCACAACTCTCTCTCCTCTCAGTGGTCTGCCAAGAAAGGTGAATTGGATGTACAGGAAGACTTGGGTCTGCTCCACAAAGTGTTATCCATAGAAGCAGAGTCAGAAAGTCAAACAGATGTGCCCAGAAAGGCTATTAGATCATCAGGATTGATTTCCCAGGAAAGAATAGGCCATAATTTTGTTCAGATTTGTTTGTGTTTGGCGTTTTTTTGTGTTTGTTTGTTTGTTTTAAATTAAATTTGTTCCATATCAAGTTTTCTACCTTGAGTTTCTCTGAATCACAGTCTTCCATATGTACATCTAACCTTGAAGTGAAGACTTTTGGGACAATAAATTGCTTTGGCTTTCCAAAACATTATCTTCAGTTGTACTTTTCTTCACTTTAGTCCCAGAATATCCTGTGATGAAAGAGTATGTGGCACATTCAAGTTACTTATTCATCCTCTTTTTTGAACAGATTCTGAGGTCTTGCACTGTGCAGAATTTTTTTCCCTGCACTGAAATATTTTTCCTGGCTCATTTTTTTAATATCTTCTTCAGTTTTTCAACATATTTTTATAACAATGGGATGACCAGAACTGTACATAAGGTTCCAACATCTGTGTTCCTGCAGCTATGTACAAATGTAAAATTATATCTGTATTTCCAACCATATTGATCGGCAATATTTTCTCACCTATAATTTCCTTGTTACATTTGAGTGAAAAGTTTTTTTAAATTTCCTTTTACTGATTGAAAAATGCAAATTGAAACAGAACAATAAATTTTCTGAAATACTGTTACATCTCTGAAATTTATTGCAGCTGAAAACATGTGTTTTCATATATGTAGGGGTACAAGGAGAACCTAAAAAACAGCTGAAAAGTATTGAGTTGACATTTTAAAAACTAAGTATTTGAATGTTTTAGTCTGAAATGTTTCATTTCAAAATTTGCTTCAGCTTTATTGTAAGAACATTTTATACTTGAATACCAAATAAAATATTTCTGTGGGGTCAAATAAAGTAATTTCCTCAATCTATTGTGGGTTTTTTAAGTCATCGATCAAGAGCAATTTGAAGAACAGAATAGCAAGCTAACTAGGAAAGACTTCTATTCTGCCTCCTATATTGATCATTTACATTTAGTTTACTCTATTTTTCTTTTCCTTAAAATTTCTGTCTGATAAGAGAACCTCTCATTACTTTTGTTTAGAGCTACCCATTTGCCTTCATGAATCCTGGCACAAAGTCAACATCTCAGTTATCTGAAATTATCCTGATAGACTAAAATCTATTAAGCATCTCCTAAATATCAGACCACTAAGCCAAAGGTCACCTCAGATATATATTCCTCTGGAACAGGTGATTTTTAACAGCCTCTGTAGGTGTGTTGCTCTGTAATACTCCTGTGAGCAGCACCTAGCTCCTTCAGCTGCTTGTGAAGTGTCTCATGGAGTAGTTTATTTCAAACATCACTGGCTGCATCTTTAAAAGAATTTTTGCCATCTCTACACT